GGCAAATTGCTCATCAATCAACTCTTTAAATTGGCATTCAAGCTCCTTGAATTCCTTTTTATTCAATTGATAGAGGGGTTGAACCACTACTTTAGCACGCTCAACCAACTCAATCTTATATTTTATCAGTTGAGCAAGGGGTAACCTCGCTAACAATTTTTTTGGTATTGTATCTCGAATTTAATCTAACACTTGTTGGATTGTTAAGGGCATTTTTTTTGTTCCCATCTTTTTATCTTTTTTCATAAAGAGTAAACACAAAAGTGCTATTTTAATTCCCTTAGCAAACTATTTTTTGGTAGGCACTAGGTTCAAGTAGGAATTTTTGGACCCATTTCACCTTATCTATAGATTTTATACTTTCACCCTAGATCATTTTCCAAAGGCATTCACTAATACCATTAGGTTTTTTTACTTTGTTTATGCAAGGCTATTACAAACCAACTGAACCAATTCATCTCAAAGATTATATCAAGTCACACTGTTTAAAATGGTAAAATTTATATCCACTTTCCATATCCGTACTTCAGCTCTTGTCAAAGTACTTCATTAGTGTTTTGGCTACCTTGAACAAATTCTATAATCCTTGGTTATCTCAGCTGTTGCATTGTTAATTTAGCTTGTTAAACTATATCTACAGCCATAAATTTTTATAAAGCATCTATATTAATAAGGATTTTAATAGAGTTACATCTAAGCTTCTTTTAAAAGGCTAGTAAATATTGCAAGTAACTCTTTACCAAAGTTGTTTGTGTAATGAATAACTTTGAAATAAGAATTGAATTACATACCTTTATTTGGACTTCACCCAACTTAATAGTCATATTTTTTTTTGGCATTTTTTGAATAAGGACATTCTCTCAAGAAGTGTCTAACCTTGCCACAATTGAAACATATATTATTCTCTATGCTATTAGTGGAATTGGTTTTCTTATTGGTGGGTTTGTTTGTTTTAACTTAACTCATTTATATGTTTATTTTTTAACTATTGAATTTGCCTTTTCAAAACTTCAAAGACTCATTTTTGAAGAAATTATTCTTAAATTTCCCCTTTTTATATATTTCTTTTGGTTTGAATCCCTTGCTAAATATGGATCTAGACCTAGTTGAGTTTGTTTTTTACTGATTGTTATTAAAATGCATTTTGATAAATGCTTTCTTGCATTTATGTCACCCATATTTGTGAAAAAAATCCTTTTAGCCATAATTGCATTCATATACAAATGGTTCCTATTTATTTTACATTACTCAACTTATCCTTCAAATGCAAAATAGCATTTAGGGAATATAAATTATTTGAATTTTCGTCTTTATCACTTTTTAGGTAGTTATTGGTCCTTCATTAGCCTTTGTCATTCTCCACCAAAATTTAGCATTATACCTTTTATGAGTTTAATAATCATAACATTCCTATATCATAAAATAAATCTTTCTACCACCTTATAGTCATTCCTCTTTTAATTTGTATTTAAAAATTGCTTATGGGCACCTCAGTTTACTCAACCCTATCTAATTCTGCTTTAATACTCATCAAAAGCTCCATGCCTTCTACACTACCTATATCTGTAGTCTTTTATTTTTTCTTTTATTTCTTGTAATGCATTAATTTGCATATGAGGGTCTTTAAATTATCCTTCTAGAGCATCCAATCAAGCCTTGAACAACTAAATCTCACCACCAAATTCATATTTGGAAGTCTCCTTATTAAAGTCTTCCTCATGCAAGGATTATTTATCCACCGCTTCTTGTTTGACTGGAGGCTCCATTTGTATAGACAGTTCAATCTTTGCCTTTGTTCCCTTATGTTTTGCCTTAGCCATTTCTTAGTGATCCACCTCTATCCTTTGTTACAAGCAACTTGGTACAATGCAAAAAGTATAACCAACCCTTAAATCTAATTTAATCTAAAAAGGGGGATTGAGAGAGAGATTGGGAATCTGTAGATGGATAATTAACACTTTATTGCTCATGTAGTGAGCAATTAAATCTAAGTAGAACTAAGTAAGAGCGTGAACCTTAGCAAGGGAACTTAACTAAGGCTAATATAAAAGTGGTTGGATAGATAAGGTAAACTAGCAAATTGGAAAAGAAAAATTTATGGCTTACAATTTGATATCAAAACTTTTTTCTCAGTTTCAAAACTTGTTTATAAGACCTTCTAAATTCCAAGCCTTAAATGCATTTTTGGGGGAAACACTATGGCATAATGGCAGTATCCTAACTCCCCACCTCTGTCTTAAAGGGAAGGCCCAAGCCCTTATGATGGGGTGAAGACCAATGAGCCATATAATACTTAAGTGGTGCACCATTCCACCTAAGTTGGGAGCATTATAGTCAATTTTTCTTCCAGGAGTGGGAGTTGTTTTTGAGCACTTTCTTAGAGGTTTCTTTAACAACCCCCTAAGTCTATATTCACTCTTACCCAAGGCTACTAACCCCCAATCTTAACCTTAACTCACTAAAGAGTTCTTTCAAGATTAGGTTTTTAACTTCATTATCTTTCACCCCCTCTCTCTTGGGAGATGATTGCTTTGGGCTTTTATCCCATGATTTGTATTAGTATTTGGACTTGGTCTTGATTTTAGACACAATCTTGGACTTGATCTTAGAAACTGTCTCGGACATTATTTCAGACTCGATCTTGGACATTGTCTCAGACACTATCTGGGATTTGGTCTTGGACATGATTTTGGATCTCAGACTCGGTTTCAGACTCGATCTCAAACTTGGTCTCACACTCAATCTTAAGCTCAATCTTGAACTCTATCTCATTCGATAAACTCTTTCTTGTTCTAGTCATAAATTCGAAGTGTCCTTTAGCCTATTCGTATTGCTAATTATAATTAATATTGCTAGCTTCTTTTAATAGTCCCTCTTGTTCAAGTGTTCCTAAACTAGATTTAGCATTTATACTTGGCTAGATAAACATTAAAAAAGAATTCCTAAGTATTTATTTATCCAAGCATACTTGGTTTGGTTTATTAGTTCTCTTTTTCTTTGTCTTGCATTAGCTTGACAACCCCTATGTATTTAGTTGTAGTCCCTCAATATCACTACATGATAAATTACTATGTCCACTAAACACCCTCACTATCATGCCCCATGTGTTGGTCCTATTTAGTCCTATTATCTATTTCTAAAAAGTGTTTATATTTGTGAGTGAGGCATATCTATGGAATGTAGAAATTATCCATAATAGTGTTGTTCCCATGTCCAAATTTATAATTTAGTGTTTAGTAAATTTTTGTAATTATCCTAGATATTAACTTCTAGAAAGCCCAAAGTGTGGGGGGTTCAAATATATAGTAGGGATAGTGGGTAGGTTGGATATATCCAACTAATTTAAAACATTATTTGGCTTTCCATTAGATGTATTTGTTCTTGTTTTATGTCTAGCTTAGGTTTAAGTTCAAGCTCCAATAGAGTACCTATATCCTTACATTAGGTCATTAGTATGTTAAAATACTACCAAACTTTATTTGGCTTTGTTTTACCTGTTAATTTTAGTGTTGGGATATTAGATGTTTTACAATTATCTCAATGTCACTTCGTGCTTTTATTCCTTTACTTCTTAGCTATAGCTCAAGAGTTGCTTCATACTTTATTTCCTACGCTCATTAGGTATTACTTGGGTGTTGGGTGGCTCAAGGCCTTAAATCTCAAATCCCACTCCATTGCCCTTGGCACACATGTCCAAGGGCATGTTTTGATTTGTGATTATTCTATGGGAAATCATTATAAGGTAAAAAGTGAAAACAACATATGTTACATTAATTGAGACATCAAAATATAAAATGCCTCAATAAATGTAAGATCATTATCCAAGAGAATCCTCTCTAGACAAGAATGTTGAAACACCACTTGATTGAGGAGAAAGTATCTAATAATAATTATAGATGCATTAGCGAGAGTAACTAAATAAGTTAAATAATCAAAAACAATAATTACATACTTATTCCTAGCAGTCTATCAAGGAAAAGGCTTTATAAAATAGAATGCCACCAACTTAAATAAATAAAAAATTACAATTAATTCCAACTGTTCTTCTATAATATGAAGAGGAGTATTGTGATCTTATATATATACTTGTTGACATATTATTGTATCTTCAGCTAATAACAAGACTTGTGCAACTTCTTAATCATATAAGGATTTCTTAAAATATGAGAGTTATAGTAAGTATAGAGGAAGTCTAGAATGAAACAAAAATCACTATTATTAAGCATAAATGATCATCTATATCAATCCTTACAAAATAAAGAAGGTTATTTTTAAAGTGATATTGAGAATATAAATGTTAAAATAGTAATTTATTGATAAATTATGCAAGATTCTTAAAGCCATCACAAAACCTTTAAATTCACATCTTAACACTTTCTTTAAGCCTCCTCAACATTATCTAAAGAATGCAAATTCAGTTTTGCATCTTGTAGACATTAAATATCAAACACAACAATTATCAATAGTATAAAGTCCTTGTTTAGAAAATCCACAAATGTTAAAATAATAGACTTTTCATAAACAAAAGAAAAGAGAGAAGGAAAGGAACTTAAAATAGAGCATTAGCATTATATTAAACTCTTAAAGTGATGAACAACTTCAAAATTGTAAATTTGAAACTTTAAAGCTTAGTAAATAATATAGATAACTAAATTATTTTTCTTTGACAATAAAGTGATTGTAACATAATCACCCTTTAGTAGCATTTAAGAAATATGTATAAAACATCTCAAAACCTTAAACATTACGATGGTGAAATAGTTTATCTCAATTAATTGTATAAAGTACCATTGCAATGGAATGATATTTGTTAGGGATGCTGGTACTCTCTTGCATCAGCATAAACCCATAACTGAACACAAAATGAAAACTGACTAAGTCAAAACTAAAAAAGTTATCAACACTTAGGATTTGTAAATGCCTACTCAAATCAGATAAAAGGATGACATGGATGATTTCAACAATGCTAGCAATAATGCAATGCAATCAGAAAGAGAATCAACAGACAATGGTCGTGGCCATTTATGTATGTGTCAACGTCATAAGCCTGGAGAAGGAAGTCCTGAGTAAGCAAGAGTTGGAGACTTTGTTTATATCTTTGGCACGCTGCAGCACGATTGGCCTTTGCCACAAGCGTTCTTCTTGCAGTGCGAGTGCGTTTGATCCTGCTGGGTATGGTCATGGCTATGGTGGCGATGGAGCTGGTGCTTTTCAGCGGCATGCTCGTGATCTGAGCACTGTGTTCTTTCAGCGTGATCGTCGTCCTTGGAGCACTGTTTACTACTGTGCTGATCGTGGTCGTGATCCTTGCAATTCTTTCCATGGCGATGGTGGTTGCCCGACGATCTCGTCTTCCCTGTTCCACGGAGCAAGAGCGTGCTGTTTGAGATCACCAGCAAGCACGCCCCGACGTCTACCAGGACAGCCATCCACAGGTAGCCATAGCCAGCGAACGAGAGTGCCAGCATTGCGGCTTTGAGGCCCACCGAGATGACAACGTTCTGTATAACTTTGGTGCGGACTCTCCTTCCCAGGCTCACCACCAAGCCCAGCTTCCGGAGATCGTCGGTCATCAGGAAAACGTCCGATGTCTCCATTGCCACTGCTGATCCGGCTAGACCCATGGCGAATCCTACGTCCGCTGCTGCTAAAGCCGGGGCATCGTTTATCCCATCCCCTATCATTCCCGTCACACCGGCGTTTTCTTTCAGCTCTTGGATGATTCTGACTTTGTCCTGAGGGAGAAGACCGGCGTGCACAGTGACTCCTCCCAACTGTAGTGGAGATAGTTCAAGTGACCCCTCGAATATACAAGACGAAATCGAAGCTTACTTTGCTCTGGACGTCCTGGGCCGTCTCATTGTTATCCCCAGTTAACATATGAATCTGGACGTTCAGACGCTGCCATAAACAAAAGACAGCTTGTGAGCAAACACGGGAAAGAAGCTCAAAGGTAAACCTTTAGACTCCGCACTGCTTCTGCCGCTTCCTCCCGTACGTGATCCTCGAGGCTGAAAACTGCCAGGAGCTGGTGATCCTTTCCAACCCAGCCCATGGTTGCTGTTTGAGTCGCTAGCTTCGTAATGGCTGGAGAAAAACTAACAGTTAGATTACAAGTCCACGGAAAGAGGAGCCGATAGAAACCTGTATTGCTCCAGCCAAGGCGAGATGCTAATCGCGCGTTACCAATCTCTATCAAGTGCCCATCCACAACGGCGGACACACCTTCGCCTTCAATGATCTGAAAGTCTGTAACGGACTTCGATGGAACAACATCTTGTAAGCTAGCGTACGTGACGAGTGCAGCGGCCATTGGATGGCTCGATCTACTTTCAACACTCGCCAACCTGCGCAACAAGAAACACTATATCAGCAACACACAGCAGGAAAATCAAACGTACCAATACAAGATCTGTTGCAGATCTTCGGTTTCACCAACAGCCACAACTTCGGAAACGCGGAAGTGTCCCTCTGTCAGTGTTCCCGTCTTGTCCATAGCTAAGCATTTGATCTTGGCCAGGATTTCAAGGTAGCTTCCACCCTTGATCACTACTCCAAGTCTTGCTGCGTGTTGTATTCCGCAGGCGACTGCCACGGGCGTCGAAAGGACTAAAGCACACGGGCAAGCCACAACGAGCAGAACGAGAGCTAAGTACAGCCAGTGCTTCTCATTGCGAACGTGCGCTATCAACGGAATGAGTGCCAGACCAAGAGCTGTCGCCACCAAAACTGTCGCGGAGCAACGCTGCATTAGCAATGGCACAGAGATTTTGTCGAGTTACCAGGAGTGTAGAATTTTGCAAACTTCTCCACAAGCTGCTCGAAGTGAGATCGTTTTGCTTGAGCTTCCTCCACGAGTTTGATCATTCTTGAGACAGCCGAGTCTTCAGCAAGTGCAGTGGTTTGCACGGTGATGTAGCCTGCAGACATGGATGACGTTAGTTTCGAAAGTGAACCGTAAGAATAAATCCGCGTACCAGCCAAATTCACTGTTCCAGCCCAAACCTCGCTTCCGCAAGTCTTCTCGACAGGTTTTGATTCACCAGTCAAGCTGCTTTCATCCAAAGAGCACCCTCCCGACAGGATAGTCCCGTCTACGGGAATCATCTCCCCAGCTTTGACAGCAATTGATGATCCAAGTTTCACTTCGTCAACGGAGACCATCACTCCGGTTTCGGCAAGGATGGCGTTCCGAGGGACATCCAGACCGGACGCCAGTGCGGAACGCGCCTGAGACACCACGACGAGTGTCATAAAGAGCAAGGACAAACAAAACGAAAAACAAGAACAGCTTACCTGCTCGCTCGATCGTCCTTCCAGCCACTCAGCTAGAGTAAACAGAAATACGATCGATCCCGCTTCAATGTAGTCAGCTAGAGCAATAGCGCCGCCGACTGATCTAACGTTTCATCATCAGACACTGGAAAGCCTGCTTTCCTGTCAACTCATCGTACCTGCTATGAGCATAAGAATGTTAATGTCTAGAATCCAGCGTCTTAGAGATGCTATGCTCCGCATAAGAATCGGCGGTATACCAACAGCCACGGCTCCGATAGCCATCCATTTCAAAGGGTTCCAGAAGTGTTTGAAAAAGGATACAAGCAGTAGAATACCGCAGCAAATGGTCCACGGACTGGGCCACTTGTTAGCCTTCTTCAGCTCTCCACGACGATGTAAACTTGCGTCTAGCCTGGCTTCGTTGAGTGCTTTGACTGGAGAAAGACAAGAATGAAGGATGAGAAGAAAACAGAGCAAGCACGGAAGATAAAGCTGTCTACCTAGACGTCCTTCAGGTGTCAAGAGCTTGTCGTGAACAACTGTCACACTGCGCGCCGTGTAGTTCACCGAGACCTCCTTGACACCGGGTAAAGGCTCCAAGATCTTCCTGACAAGAGGAACCTCCGAGGGGCAGCAAAGACCCATCACGCTCAACACAGTCCGCGTAACTTGCTGGAAGTTCTCTGGAATGCTTAGGATGTTCTCGGCAAGCCTGGGCGAGTGTACCACCGCATCGTCCTCCTCGGCCAGAATCTCGTAACCTTTGCCGTCGGTGGTCTGGTAGCTGAAGATATCCATCAGCTGCTGCTTCGGCCGCCGCTTGAGCTTTCCCAGCGACTCTCCCACCTTGACTAGGCGGCCGTGCTCGTACTGGGAATCCCCGGCATCTCGGACGAGCGCGTAGGATCCATCCTGCTTGGGCACCAGGAAGTCGTAGTGATCACCGTGAGGGATCTGGTTGTGGCCACAGTCGTCGTCGTGCTTGTGCTCGTCCCTGTGCGATGAAGTGAGCTCGTTCCAAGACATGGGGAGAGCCCAGCATGCCTCCTCCACGCACTGCCACCCAAGAGCAAGCCTGTCAATCGTCCAGCCACGCCAATTCCATACCTGCTCGAGCAGAACATCCTCGGTGGTGTCCCCGTGATGGACATGAGCGTGGACGTGTTGGCTCTCCTTGAGGCAGCAGCGCTCGGACTCGGGGAGAGGCGCCCAGGTCCCCGTGTGGTGATCCACAAAGCAGATCCTTCCCTTGTCCGGGACTGCCACATACGTGATGGCGTCGCCCTCGAGGATGAGAAGATGATCGCCCTCCTTGTGCTCCTTGTGCTCCTGGTGCTCCTCCTGTGCACGGGGATGAAATCGCAGAGCGCGGAAAGGAGGTGTACCTGATGCATGATCGATCGCCCCGACGATACAATGCAGGACGAAGCAAGAATCTCTCTCGCGGTGGTCACGGCGCCGATCGATCCACTGCTCCGATGGATGAAACCCTAGCACGTCTTCTTTCCTCCTCTCACCCAAAATCAAAACTCACACCACATTGTGGGAGAGAGGGAAGGCTGTTATATATTTTTGAGGCCATCGGATCGGCATATGCTGTATCTGGTCCTTCAAAAATATTTGGACCGAAGTGCATTCCTGTATCAGTGGACTTTAATTAAAGTATTGGTAAGTTCCTAAGTAAGTTCTTGTGGTGCTTGTTCTTTACAGGTGCCGTGTGGCATCGCATCCTAAAATCTGCAATAAAGCCACGCAAGAAGTCTAGATTACGTGTCAACTATAAATGAAATCGTAAATTTGGAATTTGTCAGCAAACGTTGTCAATATCCTTAACGTGTAGTAAAAAGCAAAACACCAGGTGGCGGCTTCAGTTTGGGTAACAGTGCTAAAATCTGGGCATTTTCCTATTGGGGTGTTGAAAGTAATGTTCTAATATTTTTCTGAGTTTAGAATTTGTGATTTAGAAAAGTAAAAATAAATCAGCTTGCAAGCACCGCTTTTTTGAAAACGCTGAATTATTTCCAAAGTTTCTTTGATGAACCGGACTCCTCACGACCCTGCCATTTTGGAACTCACTCAAGACATAAGATTACGCACTGCTTTTACTGAGACATTATCTAAACTCACGCAACAATCCTCTCTCATGGAGATGCTTGGACTAGTGGGATCGTGCATTGTTTCTTCGTGCTCAATCCACAGGAACTTCCACCTCCATTTTAAGATTTGCCTTGACAAGCACCTAGGCGGCACAAAGGCGGCAAAGCTATGTGAACTTAAGAAGCTTGGGTACTTACCTTCACGAAGTCTTCGTAAGTGAGCATGCAGCCAGATGAGAACCCTGCTTGATCCAGCGCTTGGATCACGACTTGCTAGGCAAACAGGAGAAAGCTGAGTAAAGTGAAACGACAGAGAAGGAAGCGCTTGCTTTTACCTCTCGCTGCTTCTCGGTGAGGAAAGAACCAGAAAGATCACGAAGGACCCCCAATATGTCACTTGTTGTCACTTTCCCATCGCCATCGGAATCATACACCTTAAAAATGACTGAAAAAGGAACACCATAAGGCGATGGGAAAAGCGGAAGGAGGTCCTTACACTCCATCTTCTCCTTGAAGCTGGCTCGGGGACTGAATGCCGACAGCAGCAGCACAAATTCCTTGAAATTCACGCCCTCGAGTATCCTGAGGAGCCTCTGGAAAAATCAAAAGCATGGTGGAGATCACGAAAAAGCTAGAAAGAGCCATTCACCTGAGCAAGAGGATTCAATGCAAACTCGGGAACTGCCATGAACTCGTCCTCGAGGATGAAGCCTTTGCCAGAGCGATCCAAAATGCAAAACCTTTCGTACAAAGAGATGATTTCTCTCTGCGAGACTGGAGAGAAAAAAGACATTATTTCTGGAGCCCAGCTAATTGATCGAAGAACACTTACAGATTCCTTTGCAGTGGCTCTGGACCTCCTCAATATCGTACTGCGTGAGCATGGACGATGTGTTGCCCATTTTTTGTCCCTTCCTCACCAATGCATTGCTGAAGAACCCTAAAGGAAAACATAAAAGAGAAAAAAAATGAGAGGAGCGGAAGAAGCGAGGAGAAACTACCCAACTTCCAAGGCGCTCAAGGTTTGCATCGTTGGTCCAAAATGCAGCGGCAAGACGGCGTTGGCGAGGGCCCTGGCTGGAGCGCCATGGGAATCTGGGCGACGATACACACCCACCGTGGGAGTCAGGTACAGAAAAACCGTGCTGATCGAGAGCTTACCGTGACTTGTTTCGTTCTTCCTTAGAATCCAGGAAGTCTCGATCAATAAAAACACAACTTTGGAGCTCTGGGACTGTTCTGGAGACGCAAGGTAATCCTCGTCACCCTGCAAACTTACTTTCAGTCTGATTGCTTTTTTGTGTGTAGATATGAAGCTTACCATCCAGCAGTAGCCAGCAACGCAGAAGGGCTTATCCTTGTTTACACCTTGTCCCAACCAAAGCAGAAGCTAGAACTGGAGAAATGGTAGTTTACACGTCAAACGAATTATGCAACTGAAACATGTAACAGGTACCACGATTTCGCTGCTGCAAACCATCTGCCAGCGTCCGTGTGTCAGATAATCGGCGTTGATACGGGAGTGAACAATTCCAAAGCATCTGGTAAGGCATCTGGTAAGATATCAGTGCACTCTCAAACTCAAACTCTACAACAAGTACCTTGCAGCGATGGAAGGCCGGCTTGCGGCTCTTCCACACATGGTATTGGTGCTCAAGAATCCAGAGGCAAATGCGCAGCTGCTCCATGTACTGGATGGCCTCCTGCAGAACATTCTTAAACGCAAGAGATCCCAGGAATGAAGTCGAGAATCGAGAAAGAGAGAGTCGTTAATTACAGCGCCGGATACAAGTGTTAGAACCAGTCACGGAAGGAATGTAGCTACGCACGCACATATACGGTGAAACCTTTGATATCCGGCAGGAAGAGAGTAAATTGCGGTGTTTAAGTCCTCCTCTGTAATAACACTCTGTGTTCTCCTTGTCGAGTCCACAAGTACCTCACAAGGCATGATGGCTTTTGGATATTGCCCACTGAGAGACACAGAACATCAATTTTAAAAACATGCTAAGAAGAGCTTACTTGCAGAGTGATTGCAACGAGAAAACGAGTGTTATCTTCAGGCGCAATCTATAGTTCATGAAGTCGCATTGCAAACATATCCCGTGGTCTGAAAAATGGAGGATTCATAAAATGAGTTTAATAGAATAAGCAAACGAACCTTTATTAAGCGTGAAAAGAACCGAATCCAAGCACCGATGATGTGCTCGACAATCTCTAGCCTCCGTGGCGACTTGGATCAAGTTCGTAACCAGATCGCTGCTTTGCTATAACAATTAAAAAGACAATGAGAAAAACACACAGAGTGAATCAAATCAACCCATACTTGCATGGCTGCTGGAAGGTTTTTAAGCTGCTTAACTCGGTGCTTCTCAGCAGGTAGCAACGACTGAAACAGAAGCGCCGAATTCATACGAGGAAATCCCTGTAAAACTTTCATCCATGTGAGTAAAGAACGTTGAAACCGCAAGTCCAAATAACCTTTTCAATGAAGTTCAAATGAGGTGTTAATTGGATCCACGCAGAGGAAGCTGATCCCTTTCCTTCAATGGTTATGCTGTTGCAGTCTTTAGCATGAGCAGGAAAAAAACGCTACGAAATAATACCTTTGGTTCACCCTGTAGCCGTGGCTTATATCAAGCTTATAACTGTCTCGCTCGCTGACGAGTCGGGTAATGTGCCAGCCCTGTTATGAAGCACTAAGAAAAAAAAACTCTTTATACAGTAGATCTAACCTGTATTTTGTGAATCATTCGACGTTTGAAGTGCTCCGTCTTGCACGACTCCGACGTCAGTGAAAAAACTCGTTTCCGATCTTCCAGTTCTTTCATGGTTGCTTTCAGTTGTTCGTTCTTATCGTGCATTTCCTGTAAACATTTTTTTTCAGAAGAAGTCGAAAAGCTAGCAGAAGACAATACCTGGAGTTCGCTTCGCAACTCAGCAAGTTCCTTCTCCTGGTCGACAGCGGGCAACTGGGAATTGATTTGGATGTTACGGCTCGCCACAGCGGAAGGATCTTGAAGAGGAACTTGAGCTGTAACCGTACCCTTGAGCTCTTCCGGCGCTATTGACGTCGGAAACGGTGGACTCGAAGGCACTTGAGGAGTGACAGTGATGTCTTGGTGTTGCTCTGGTGCGGTTGCTTTTACAGGAGATAATGTACGTGCAGTCACTTGGGGTGTTACCGTGATGTCTTGGAGCCTCTTCGGTGTGATGGATCTCTCAGGAATTGGTGAACTTTGAGGTAGAGTGATGCCTTCGAGCTTCTTCGCTGTGATTGCCTTCGCAGGTGATGATGGACTTGGACTTGAAAGTACTTGAGGTACCATGATATCCTGGAGCTTCTTCGGTGGGATTGCTCTCGCAGGAGATGATGGACTCGAAGTGACTTGTGGTACAGTGATGTCCTGGAGCTTCTTCGGTGGGACGGACCTCGCTGAAGATAGTGGACTCCTGTTTTCCTTCCCCTTGAAACGAGGAGAAGCTCTGAAAACTCTCCGACGCTTTTGAGCCAGTGCCCCAGCGTCAACCATCTCCGTGTACTGCATTGACAGTGTCCGATCGAGAGAAACTGGCGGCGAATCTGTTGGCACTGCCTCTGGTGGTCTTCGAGGATTTTGCACCGTGAAGCTCATATCACTTTCCAGTGATCCGGGACGCCTGGAGACCTCCTCTGCTCCAGCCGCTGTGTCATCGTCGTTGAATCGACAAAGTTTAGCTGAAAACGTTGTGCTATCCAAGGTGATATCGTCCTCGAGCGAAGGAGATCCCAGGTTGGCTTGAACGATGTGATTGATATCAACTGGGCCAGCAGCCTCCTCATCATCCTCAGATCTACATTCATTGTAGAGCGTCAGGTTTTTTCTTCCTAGAAAGCAAACAAACTTACGCGGCGTTGGCAATGGGATTTTGGTCTGTGGAGTCCAGAGATTGGCTCCTAGCGGCAAGCCTTGGAGATTTGCGTAGAGGCTGAGAGGCCACCTCCACTACTCCTCCAGGAGGAGTTGCGTACTCATCGTCCCTTGGAAAGACATGGACCGTCTGAATCTCGGCGAAGCTTACTCGTCTGGCCGAAGAACGCCTCTTCTTCCTCCGGGGAATCGTCGTGTCGTCCTCGAAAACGTCCAGCGTCGGCGTTTCACCGAAGCGTAGCGCCAGATCGAGCGCGGCGGCTGCCATTCTCGGCTACTCCTATTTATTTACCTCGATCTCTGCAGCGGCATTCCGCGCCTCTCCAACGATCCCACAAACCCTAGCCTCCCCATTTCAAAATTTCCCAACGTCTCTCTTTTTCTTGATCCAATGGCTGTAACCTTAGTGACGTGTCAAGCATCGGGAGTGCCACGTGGTGCATGGAGGTCTGACGCGTTGAGTACTTGGCCGCCGCCACGTTGGAAGCGAATGGCTGCTAGGTCTCGTTTTTGGCAATTCCAGTGGTTACTTCGCGACCGGCTCTGTTCATCGATTGATTTAAAAGGAGCTGGAGAATCAAGGGGAGCGCATGGCTTCATTGACGATGTCTCGCGGCGAAGAATCCATTTCCAGCGGCAGTGGCGGTAGCACTGTGAGCCGGGTTAGCTCCTGGGTGCGCGAGAACAAGCTCAAGACGATCGGTAAGAGCAGTGCGTTGTCTCATCGATGACGATCCAATCGATTATCTCCAGGTACTTTTTGGGGCACCACGCTCGGCTCCTCGATCTTGTGGAATCTGTCCAAGCCACACGAGAAATTGAGTCTCAAGTTGCTCCACGCCAGGTAAGAGCTCGATCGATCGCAAGAAAGAAGAAATGTAATCGAATCTTTGCTGCGATTCAGGGTCCACGCGCAAGGAGTGACGCTTATGGCATTAGCCGGAGCTGGATTTCTCGAGTACTTGGATCGCCGCGAGAAGAATAACCTCAAGCTAGCGGCAGCAGCACAAAAGCATTAGCTTCTTCGTTTTAGGGTTCTTCCTTGGAGAATATTCCGTCGGCTTGCGAAAGTAGCAGAATCGTCTCTCGCACAATTTTCTCCGTTAGAAACGATTCTCTTATGCCATGTGTTAGAATATTCGCCCAGTGTAAAGAGTATATTTAAGCCCAACAGAAGAACCGTTCGCGCGCTTAAAAATCCGGGCGTGCGAACGACGTGTTGTTATTGCCTTGGCAGTCGTGGTTAGTTTAATGGACCGGAGGTTCCTGCGAATCATTGACCGATGCGTGGGACCGGTCCTTCCCGACGTGCCGGTTCTTGCAAGGCACGACCCTCCATCGATCATAAAAACCTCCTTGGTGACATGGCCACAATGCGAGCCAGCCGTGGAGCCAATAGCACGCTGACGTATCAGCAGGCTGCCACGTGGAAGCTTTCGAGTGGCTTGTGGCTCCGAAAGCAAGCAAGGTTTGGCGCTATGGCGGAGCTCTAGGCTTAAGAGCGATCTTTCCGGCAGGGTAAAATATTTGTCCTTGGGATCGAGAGATTTCGGGGAGGATCGAGCGAGCTGCTGGCGCGGCGATCAATCACCAGGCGCGTCCGCTAGGTCTGGATTTTGAGCTGTGATGTGGAGTTCTTGGGACCTGCATTGGATCGAGCTTGGCAGATTCCCAGTGAATCACGGCTTCTGTCCAAGATTCTAGCCCTGGAGCGCAGAGTGATGGCTAGGCGTCGAGAATGAGGCCGCGATGGCGAGATTGGGGAGCATCATCGAGGGTGTGTATGCATCTGGAGCTGCTGCTGACAACGGCTGGAGATCAAAGTCGAAAGATCACGCGCCCGGTGGAGGTAGAGGCATTTCCTTCTAGTTTTCGTACTCCCTGATCGTTGTTTCTTCGCTTCCTTGTCCCAGCGGCGGCGGAGCGTATGAAGGCATTGCATATCAATGCCTACTTCGGCGCCGGGGAGAAGCATCCAAACGCTCTTCGCGATGACCGGCTCGAGTACCCAAGCACTAGCTCCAGCGCGAGCTTGGATTTCGACGACGATGGTGGCTATAGTCCGAGGGAGCCATTCTGGCACCCCGAAGAGAAGCAAGCTCCCAGTGGAGTGTCTCCGGGGTGGCCTTTGAAGCACGAGGGCATGGTGTCCAAGCCATTCTCGGGCACAAAGCAAGGAACGCGTATGTGGGAGGAGAAAAGAGAGAAGAGGGAGACTGAGGCCTCTGGTAAGCTTTTTTTTTTCCTCTTTCATGCGCAGAACACCTCGAGATGCTCGTTTGCAGAAGTGGAGATGATGAAGGAGAGGTTCGCGAGATTATTGCTGGGCGAGGATATGTCTGGAGGCAGTAAAGGTGTGTGCACTGCACTGGCGATCTCGAATGCCATCACGAACCTTTCTGGTGTGTGTCTTTTCTTTTTTTCCTTCTTTTTTCGTATGCGGAGGCTGATTGATTGGTATTGTCACAGCATCCGTGTTTGGAGAGCTTTGGAGGTTGGAGCCTCTATCCGTGGAGAAGAAGAAAATGTGGCGAAGAGAGATGGAATGGATACTGTCTGTTACCGATCACATCGTCGAGCTCGTTCCGACTTGGCAGACATTTCCGGACGGCAGTAGTGTTGAGGTGTGTTTGCTGTTCTTGACGTGTGACGGCGTAAGATCCGGATCTTTGTTTGCAGGTTATGGTCAGTAATCCCCGGGCAGATCTACACATAAATCTACCAGCCTTGCGGAAACTTGATATGATGTTACTGGTAACGAGCTTGTTTTAGTTTGATCGGCAGCTGCTTATAACTAATTCTTCCATACAGGAATGTCTGGATGGTTTCTCAAAGACTGAGTTTTGGTATGTCGACCAGAGTGTCGCTATGTCTGAAGCGGAAGAGCAAGGCACTCCAAGGAAATCGCTACCGAGGCAAGAAGAAAAATGGTGGCTGCCTACGCCAAGAGTTCCCGCTAATGGTCTGTCCGCCGAGTCGAAGAAGCGCCTGCAACATCAGAAGGACAGTATTAATCAGGTCTTGAAAGCTTCAATGGCCATTAACGCACAGGTACTTTCCGAAATGGACGTGCCTGAGGTGTATTGGGAATCTCTTCCAAAGGTAAGCGTCCTCAATTGGAGTTCGCAAATGTAAATGTTTGTGTTTTTTCTTGCAGAATGGGAGATCAAGCTTAGGCGAAGGTTTCTATCGCTGCCTATCTTTCGAGCAATTCTCTCCTGAAGCTCTGCTGGCCACGCTGACCATGGCATCCGAGCACCACATTCTGGAGATCGCCAACCGCGTGGAAGCCGCTATTCATACGTGGAAACGGAAAGTAAGCTCGAGGCATCCTCATACCGATGGAAAGCCCAATGCCAGATCTTCCTGGGGTGGACTTATGAAGGACTTGGTCGGAGACGGCGACCGGCGAGAGATCTTAATTGCCAGAGCCGAAACTCTCCTGCTTTGCTTAAAGCATAAGTTCCCGGGACTACCGCAAACTCTCTTGGACATTCACAAGATCCAGTATAACAAGGTACGCGGCAAGCACATGCTTTTGGTGACGGGCCAATGTTCCTTCTGCAGGACGTCGGACAGTCCATCCTGGAAAGCTATTCTCGTGTTTTGGAAAGCTTGGCGTTCAGCATTATATCGCGTATAGATGACGTCCTCCACATTGATGAGCTTGCAATGACCGCCGATCCAACACCAGCCGAGGATCCAGCACCAAAGATATTTCCCGCGGCTTTAAGCAAGATACCTCCGATTAGAACATCGATTCCTGACACCAAAGGCTTCGGGGATTTCATCAAGGCACCACCGCCAGCAGAAGCAGCTTCGCCCAAGTTCGATCTCCCTGGCAAAGACGAGACCGGATTGAGCCTCACAGCAACGTCGCCATCGCCAAAGTTTGATCGTCCCAGGAAGCCAGAGCCACTCAAGAACTTCTCTTATGCCCGGCATCTCGAGAGCGTGCACAGTCCTCCGGGAAGAGACTAGGAGGAAGGGGGTGAAGGAGGCAGGATAGATTCCTTGGTAGAGTAGAACAAGGACCACTTACAGATACGTCCGGACGATTTATTTACATCACAAGCTCGTGCGAGTTGGCATCTTCTACGTCACGCAGTGCGGGTGTCCTATGTGAGGGACGTGCCTGAGATCCTCGGACACCGATCCATAGTCGAAGTAAGGCCGGCACTCCAAGTTGTCATCATACTCCCACGCGAACTCGGGGACTTCGAGCTGGTCGGAATCGATGTAGCTCCACATAAACTCGATCCGGGGGACGTAATTCACCTTCGCATAGAAGCTGTGGCACAGGAAGATCACGAAGTTAAGCTTGTGGAACAGGAAAAGAGCTACTTTCGAGATGGAGGAAAGATGAAAAGGGGGGATACAGAGGATTTTGCATTTTGCTCACCCTTCGCTGAGGAACATCCGGCCGAGAGTAGCGAGGAGAAGCCTGGATTGGAGCCCCGGGTGGACGAAGTAGATGGCGTCGATCCCGTGCTTGGACTCCGGTGGCAGCGATTCGTAGAGCCATCTGAGAGTGAGCAAGCCGGGATTGTTGACGCTGTTCTCGACGCCGGTGTGGAAGTAGACGACAACGAAGGAAGAGCCACCGGCCTCCACGCTCAGGAACTTGAGCTTGTGGAGAATGTAGGCGTGGAGCTTGTCCTTGCTAAAGGCAGCGGCTGGAAAGCACGATGGTCAGAACAACCCGAGACGAGCAAAGAGGAGGAGATCTCCAAAGTACCTGGGAAGAACTTGCCAACGATGCGAACGATCCTCCGCCCCTGCCGGTCGACTCCATCGAACTTGAGGAAGTCGAGCTTGTCAAACTCCGCAGCCTCTTCACTCGTCGGCTCCATACAGCTCGTCTTCTCGCCTTTACGAGGACTGGCAGGCGCCTGGCCCTCGTTGATGTGCCTCAGCACCCAACCGGTCATTGCCAGCGGCTCTTCGCCAATCAAGTTACAAGCTGGAATGTTGAACATCTTATCTACTCAAGACACCTTGAAGATGGATCGAAAGATCAGTGGGGAGCCAAGAGGCGGATAAGATCAGCTTATCTATCCACAGGTCGAGGCCGGGAAGGAGGAAAAAAAAAATTCGAGAAGGAAAAGAAAGAAATCAAGCGGAATATCACGACTGGGGACTATTTAGTGGCAGAATGACGTCCTTATCCATGATTCCCTGTCCAGGGCGAGATATTCCAGAGCTTTAAAGTTGGCTTACCTGTCAGTGCGGGGCCAGGGATGGTGGATTTTTTGATACCGTGTCTCGCAACGTGGCCTCCTGTTCGAGCAGATTCCTCGGAAGAGTGTCGTATACGTCCGTGAAGAGCTCGGACAATGGAGGTTTGTTCTTCTTCTCGGCTTGGTTCATTGCACTAATCACCTGTTTTTTTTTCGTATTTTTTGTGTAGAAGAAGCGATGTTGATGGTTGCTTGCGAAGAAATTCAATGTACCTCTTTTCGCGCCGCTCCTCGGAGTTCCTTCTCGTCCTCGACACTCCACCAAGCGTTGCTCTCAAGCCATCTCCGGAAGCGCAGGACCGGGTCGCGGACGCTTCTCCAGTGCGCAATCTCTTCTCCGCTCCGGTACTTTGTGGAGTCGTCGGACGTGGAGTGGTGCCCGACGCGATAAGTCATTGCCTGAGATGCTCGAAAGCGACGCTGAGTTATAGAATATGGTCCCTAGAAAGAAAGGCATGTTGCTCAGAGAATACCTCGATAAGGACGGGTTTGCTTTGTTCCACTGCGAGCTTGCGAGCTGCGCTTACGGCTTTGAAGACTGCCAGCGCGTCGTTTCCGTCAACTCTGATACTCGTCATGCCATAGCCTCGGCCCCTCACCACTATTCCATCGCCTGGAGCATCAAAGTTTCAAGAAAAGAAAGAAATATTGTGAAGTTGTCAAAACAAACGCTAGCAATTGGATCGCGTGCTTGCCTTTGTATTGCTCGCATGCTGGTGTGCTTATTGCATAGCCATTGTTCCTGCATACAAACAGGACGGGAGCTTCTAGCACCGCCGCGAAGTTACAAGCAGCATGGAAATCACCCTGTGGGAAAAGAAAATGGGTTCAAGAGATCAATAAAGCTATTGTGTGCGAGTTATTCTACCTCGCTCGATCCACCGTCACCGAAGTAGGTCACGGCACACGCATTTTTCCTGTCCATTTTCAGTCCATAAGCTGCTCCTACGGCGTGAGGAAGTTGCGTCCTGAATCACAGAGAAAAATGACAGAGTCAATCAATAGAGGAAAAAGAACGAGAAGAATTACATACGCTATGGGTGACGAAATTGTGAAGTAATTAAGTTTTTCCGAGCCGTAGTGAATCGGCATTTGCCTACCTTTCCCGTGCCCATCTTCGTTGCTAAAGCACTGGTTGGCAAACTCGTCAAGCGTAAAACCCCTCCACATTAGCACGCCATGCTCTCTATACTGCCGAGCCAAAGAAGAAGAAACAAGAAAAATCAGCAAACAAAGCTATGGTGGCAACACAAAAACAAGCGATTTGTTTTTCTATCCTCCAAGAATCTAATCCTCACCTGGGGAAAGACAACGTCGTCTTTTGTCAAAGCTGCCGCGGATGCAACGTTGAGCGCTTCCTCGCCTATGTTAGTCAAGTAGAAAGAAATCCGGCCTTGCCTTTGAGCCTCGTAGAAAATGCTGTCAAAGGTTTGCAATCGTACCATGGTGTGGTACATCTTCACCGCCAAAGAAGAATCGATCTGGAACCAAAATGAAACCAATCATTCATACCAAACTATCAAAAACTCTATGTTTCTCCACCCACCAAACCAATCGTCCAATCCAAACTACAAGAAATTTCTTCCCCACATACCTCAGGGATGTCGGATCCGTCGAGAGCACGCCCTAGATCGTCGAGAATCCGGAAGCACGGCACGGCCTCGGCCGCATTGGGCGAGATAAACTCCATCCTCGAGGTGAATGCGGCCTTAGCGCCTGGAAAATCCAGCATCTGCCCCGAAATATCACAGATTTTCAATCTCCATCGCCATGGAATTCGCGAACCTGATCGTCGGGGCGATGATCGGCCCCGGAGTTGACCGCCTGATCCGCCGCTGCTGCATCCGTGCCGTGCCGCCGCCGCCGCGAATTGGATTCGTAGAGCGATCGATAGCTCCCGGAAGCGCGGAGGAAGCGCTTTGGCGCTCCGCGGAGGAGGAGAGGGAGAACTCCCATTTTCTTGTTGGATCATACAAAACCACGAGGTGTCATCTCTATCAGGTATATTCCAAAGCTATAAAATCGATTCGGTCAGGTATATTCCAAGAATGTAAAAAAGATTCGATTTAGGTCAGGGCAATATTTTTAGGGCTCTTGAGCGATGGCGCTAGCAGGGGCGTGGCGCCGGGCATCCGCAGTAGCGGCATCGTCCATCCCGGCCTCTCGCGCGTCCCCAGTCGTAGCGCCAGGCTACGGCGCATCAGATCCATGGCGGATTCCAGCTGCATTTGGGGCGGCGGGGCGGCGGGGCATGGCAGATCTCCTCCCCGTCCAGGTCCGGCAGCCGGGCGACTCCCTGCCGCGCGTCGACACGCGCATCGTGACGGCCATCGCGGTGGACGAGGACGGGCGGCGCCACACGGTGCGCGCGCTCGCAGGTCAGTCGCTGTTTAGGGCTCTTGTGAATGCAGGGCTGCGCCTCCACTTGTCACACCAGCTCGACACCTCGTGCTATGGCTACGTGTGCCGTGTGAGCATCAGCGACGAGTGGAGGGCGCGGATCCCCGAGCCGACCGAGGACGAGCTTCACGTCCTCAAGCACCACTTCACGCCGCCCGACTTCGATCCCTCCATCCGGTGCAGCTGCAAGATCAAGCTCAGCGACAAGATCAACGGCATCGTGGTCGCGCTCGTCCCCGAGAAGTGCTGGGATTTCACTTGAGAGGAGAGAATGTGGGTTGTGGAGGGGTGATCTTCGATGGACAGTGTGCAATAAGCTATAGCAGGTGTCTTTTGCTTCTCTTTCGGGGAAGACGATCGTCCCCTTTAGCTCCTTGCAGCACATGCCCAGTGTGGGGATTTTGTTTCATAGTTGATGTCACTGTGAAGTCTTTACTGGATTGGGATCGATGGCGCTACAAAGATCTAAAATACATATTATCACTTAAATCTCATGGAGAAAACTCGTGTTTTAACTGTTCTAGATATTCTAGATATTCGAGCACCGACATTGTGGATCTTTTACAAGGTAAACTTGATTTTTATATCTGTTTTTTCATAGCTGCTAAGCTATTGGGATCTTTTTTCCAGCTGCAAATACCAAGTGGCGGCAAATTGCTATAGCCTGCCATGGCCGAGTCTTTCAAGCGCGTACAAACAAAACGACGACCTGGACCATGACACGTGAAGAAGGATAAAGAAGAGGGAGTTACATCAGAGATCGCCAATAAATATTTCTGCGAAACGCGAGCTGATCACAGCGCGGGCGATAAAGACTGTAACTTAGATCACTGCTGATCGGGCAAGCACTATAGCTAGACTTGAAATCACCGAGAAAGAAAGCTTAAGAAACGAAAGCTTACGAGTAATCGACCAAGGTAAACTACACAACTTGATCGTGCATTGTCTTAAGTTCTTCGTGTCTCTCTTTCGAGTTTCTTATCCAATCCTCTCGGTTGTGTAGGCGCTGAGAAGTTCCAGCCGAAGTTCTTCCCAGATCTATCGCCCGAGATCCAAGGAGAGCCATGGTTACCTCCTCCTCGTCCAAGAAGCTCTTCCCCCGCTTCGTGACCCTGAAAGGCGACAATGGTCAGCTCCTCACAGTGCACGCTCTGGATGGAGTACCGTACCTCACATTTACTTCCCTGGAGCCGTCGCGGCTGGCTACTCATGAGATCATCTGCCACAAGGATCTCCCGGACGTGGTGATGATCCGTTCCTCCAACGGCCGCTACTGGAGCCGCAACGAGAATAGCTGGATCGTGGCGAACCGGGACGAGACCCCGGCATCCTCGGATACGAGCTCCAACTTCAAGATCGTCCGGGTGAGTAGCAGCAGTAGCAGCAGCACGGTGGCGCTGCAATCCTTGGCGGACGGGAGCTACTTGCGATGGTTCTCGCAGTCGCAGGTCCAGCACGGCTGCAACGCGGTCGGGAGTTCGTGCGACGTCCACACTCACCTCGAGCTCTGCGATGCGTCCGAGACGGCGCTGGTTCTCCCGCGGCTGCTCTCGCTCAAGTCGGACAATGGGCTGTTCCTCGCCGCGCAGTACCAGCGCGAGATCAACTGGCTGAGCTTCGCGAGCTCCTCCAAGAGCGAGCTCGCGACGGCGCACGAAGTAGTGCTGCTGCCAAACGGGAACGCGATGATCCAGAACGTCAAGAGCGGCAAGTTCTGGCGGGTGAGCTGCGTCAACTGGGCGTGGGCGGACGTGGATCGCTCGCACGCGCTGACGAACACCGCGTGCCACTTCGAGCCCGTGAAGGTGAGCGCCACCGAGGTGGCGCTCAAGTCGGCCTTCTCGGGGCGGTTCCTCAAGCGCTACACCGAGTACTGGAAGGACGCGCTGTGCGGGCTGGCGTGCGGGATGAACGATCCGGCGACGCGGTTCGTGGTCGGGGGCGCGGTGGTGTCGCAGAGTTTGGAGGAGATCGCGTACTCGCTCAAGATGGCGGAGATGGTGGAGGTGAAGAGCGTGGAGGTGGCGAGCGGGGTGGCGACGAACAGCGAGCAGAAGGCGTGCGATGTGGTGGTGCAAGTGAAGTTTTCGTTATCGGTGTCGCGGAGGCACCGGTGGTCGGACTCGTCGACTTTCGTGAAGGCGTGCCCGAGGACGAGCTTCACGGTGGGGGTGCCCGAAGTGACGTCCGCGGAGGGCAGCATCACGGTTGGCGCCGCACAGTGTTTCAAGACGAGGATGTGCGCCGTGGTGGAGGAGGCTGTGCAGTTCCAGTCGACTTACACTGTCAAGAGTGTGGAGCCCGGGGAAGAGGTATGGATCTTGGTTTTTCTTCTTGTTCTTGCGAGAGTTCTTGAGAAGTTTGCTTTGTTTCATCGCATCTGTAGGCTCTAGTTCCTTAGATTGCTTCTTTGTCTTGGTGGCATCGCTTCTGAGGCTCAAGTTCTTTCTTTTTATGCTTGATCTTCCTCTTCGTTGCATCGCGTTTGTCTTGTGATCAATGTATGGTTCTTTCTCTTCCTTTCTTCGTCTTTTGGTTTTTCTTCTTGTTCCTGCGGGATTTCTTGAGAAGTTTCCCTTGTTTCATCGCAGAGTTCCTTAGATTGCTTCTTCTCTTTCTCTTATGCTTTCCTTTTGTTGTTCTTGGCGAGATTTCATGAGATGTTTCATCGCAGATCTCGTTTTATTGCTTCTTTCTTTTGGTTGCATCGCATTCTGAGGCTCAACTTCTTGTTTTGGTTGCTTTTGCATCACATCTGCTTGATTTCTTCTTCTTCCTCGTTGCATTGTTTCTCATCAAGCGATTCTGGAAAGATTCGTTTCTGTTCTCTCCTCTTTGAATCGCACTCTCTGTTCATTGTTTGGAATCTCTTAATTTTCTTTGCTGTTTGGATTGCTTCTCTAGATTCTAGGATTGAATCACTGGATGTTTTTCTTTTTTCTTCCACTAGTCACGCTCAGATGCTTCTCGTCTTTTCCTCATCGTCTCTCATGTGATTGTTCTTTTAGACTCTTCCACCTTTCGCTTTGCCCTTACATCTTTTCCTTTCTACGTGACTCGATTCCAGCTTTTCTGTACTACTCTCTTTTCCATAGTGGGATGCTCTGCTCTCTTCTAAAGATGTCGTCCTTTGAGATCTTTCTAATCGATGCGATTGCGATTGCTCTCACAGTCTCGCTAATGCTTTCGATTCATCGCAGGTGACTGTCAAGGTGCAATGCAGCCAAGGCAAATGCCGCGTCCCCTTCACCTACAGCGCCAAGCAAACCCGGCTGGATGGATTCGTGCTCCCCACGATCCAGTGCGTGGATGGCTTCTTCGAGGGCGTGAGCGTGTTTGACACCAAGGCCGTGGTGACAAGCGCGCACCGCAAGACGCCCACTTACTTGCCCGTGTGCTGCTCCTTCGCCTCCACCGCCGCTGGCCGACGCCGCATCCCGGCAGCTCTGTGATCGGACGGCCGGATTTCGCTGGCCGGATTTAAATGTTTGAATTGTGCTCCATCCTGGCCGTTTAACGGATGTGTACTTTAGAGGATCCAAGAAACCTAGAGAATGAATTATCTTCTTCATTCGATCTATATTGCATTGTTTACATCCTTTGTTTGATTTTCTGGCGAGCAGTGAGCACGATCCAAGGGGAAATAGATCTAGACTTAGATTAAGCACTGTCTATTCACTCTTCCTTTTGGTTGCTCTGCTTGCTTGCAGAGCTTATGTGATGAATTGTTCTTTTTCTCTTTGTTCTTCTGGATTCTTCTTCTTTGTTTCCGTGACTCCGTACTGACAATCTCTCTCTCTCTCTCTCTCTCTCTCTCTCTCTAAGCAGCCAAGGCAGACGCCAGACCCTCTTCAATCTAGTCCGCCAAGCCCAATGGGCGATCAAATGCAACCATGCCATCCTCTGTGATTGGACGGCAGGGATCCAAATATTTGAAATCTATGCTGCATCTCGGCCGTTGATTTGAATCCGAGCCCTTGGCGGGAAGTAGGGCCTGAGAGCTTTCTCAATCTATAAAGTACCAACGAAACAAATTCCAGAGGAGCTCAATTGTAGAAGTGAAAACGAGGAAAGACAATTTGGAAGAGAAGAAAGCATCAATCACAAACAGTCAAGAGCTAGGCTGAGCTGGTGGTATATGTTACAAAAAGCACCCAAAAAAAAATTAATCCCCGTCCATGATCTCCATCCGCCCATGATCTCCATCCATCCTCCCTCTACTTGCTCGCCTTGGTTCTGGCCTTCTTCTTTGGCGATCCAGCGCTGGACGCCTTCGTCTTCCTGCTTCCCCCCTTGGCCGAAGAAGCTTTCGCTGGCGATGGCGACTGCGCTTTCGATCTCGGCGACTTGCCCCGGGATGGCGATGGCGATGGCGATTTCGCCGCCTTCTTCGTTGCCACTGCCTTCGCTGCCTTGACTGTCCGCGCTGCCTTGGCCTCTTTACCTCCCTTGGTCACCTTTGGTTTCGCAGTAGTAGTGGCAGCAGTGCCCGTGGTAGCGCTAGCTTTCTTCTTCTTACTCTCGGTCTCGGTAGTGTCGCTGGCCTTGGCTGGCGCCTTGGGCGCCGCACTGTTGCTGCTCTTGCTGGCCTGCTTGAGCTCCTGGGACAGCTTGTACGAGCCCTTCACCTTGACCAGATTCTCCTGCTTTATCTGCTTCTTGAGCTGGACCGACAGTAGCTTCCGAAAGTTCTCCGGGAGATCCTTCTCGTACCTCTCCTCGATGAACTTGGCGATGGCGGGCTGGCTGGACCCCGTCCTGTCCTTGAGCGTCGAGATGGCTTCCGTGATCATCTGGGAGAAAACAGACCGCCTCGCGTCAGAACATATATCTATCTACATTCCCAAAACGAAAACAAGAGAAAAAGCAAAACAGGGGAGAGAGTGAAAGTACCTGGAGGTAAGGCGGATGCGTCATAGGCGCCCTCGAGCCCTTCTTGGGTGGAGAAGAGGCCGCAGGAGCAGGTTTCGGGGACGAGCTCTTTCTCGTTGTCCTTGTTGTCGTGGACTTTGCCTTCGTTGACGGGACCTTCTCCTTCTTCGCCTTTTCCTTCGCAGGAGCTTTAGCCGCAGCAGTGGCGGGCGCCTTCTTCTTGCCAGCCTTGGCCGCCATCTCCTGCACGCGAAAAAACAACAACCGCAACAAGAAGATTATCCAACCCTAAGCAACCCAGGGCAGCACTCACCAAGAAGCGAACTTGGTCGAAGCGATGAGATGACCCTCCTCGTAAAAACAACCCCACCGAAAAAGGATATAGCCTCGGAGCTTATTCTGTAAAAGCAACTACTTTCCCCAGGCCACAAAACCACTTCTGATCGAATCCCTCCGCGGATAATCCAACCACAAGTTAACGGCCTGCCTCCGTCCCCCGCCTATCTATCTATCTGAAGATCTCTAAACCGATCGATCGAATCCCCTCCCTGTACGACGAGCTGCCCGAACTATCTAGCACGTCCACGAGTTAGACCTGGTAAGGTACGGCTTGGTCTTCTTGTCTTCCTCCAGTGACACCATCCCCAAGTGCGAAGGATCCTCCAGCATCATTTTGGCAACCAGATACCCCGCAATTGACCATGTCTGGAGCTTCCTGGCCTGCTTGCCGATGTAGCGACCTGTCTTTCCGTCGTAGTACTCGGGCCACCCATCCTTGCTGAGCCTGGCCTCGGCGATCTCAATGGCCCTGCGAGCTATCTGTGGTCGCCCCGTCTTGATGCAAGCCGCCGTCAGCAGCCACAGGAGCACTGGACAAAGCCCACAAGAATTAGAACTTTGGAGGTCACAAATGTAGCAGCAGAGGCAAAGTACCTGGCCACGAGCCGCCGTTGTGATAGCTCCATCGAGTGTTCTTGGGATCACAGCCGGTCACAATCTTCCATTCGTGTCCTTCCAGTGCCGGATACGTTACCTTAAGTGGCATCTCCCCAATGAGATCGTCCCAGCGCTCCTCGATGAGGTCCATGATCGCGGTGGCCTGCTCCGGCGTTGTCAGCGACGAGAGGATGGCCACGCAGTTTCCAATCGTGAACCACCGAAAGTCCATCCTCGCCGGGCTCACATTCCCAATGAAGTAGCCACCTTTCATGGGCATGAAGTCGAACACCCAGTCGGGTATGGAGTCGGGGATCACGTTAAACTTGTTCACCGCTGTGTGCGAGTACTCCTCTGTTTTGTAGCGATAGATGTTGTTGAGCTGCTGGAAGTCGAGCCAAAAGTACGAGCGGAGATGGTATCGCAGGGCATGGAGCCTCTTGTCAATCCTCTCGATGAACTCTTTACCGCCAGCTTCCGGCTTGAGCAAGAACTTTGCGCAGCGGAGAGCCATAAAGAACAGCGCCTGGATCTCAATCGGGTACCCGTAGATTCCCTGCAAGAAGCCACAAGCTCAGAACAAAGACCTCAATCGAAACTCCTTACCATCCGGCGATCGATCATGCAGCAGCCATCGGCACAGAGTAGAGTCGGGAAGGTGTCGAATCCTTCCGAGAGGCACAAGGTGAGGATCAATCGTATCCCTCGCTGGCAGTCGGGATCGTCGGAAAGGTTGTGATCGCCGGTGGCCTTGACATAGGCACGGAGGAGAATGATCCACCAGAAGCCCGAGTCGACGGGAGCGACTCTCCCAATCGCGCTCTCGCCAAAGTCGGCGATCATCGTGTCGGTTCTGCTGGGATCATGCAATACCTTGAAGCTCGCCGGCATTACGCCCTCGCCGAGCGTGAAGCAGTCGATTCGCTTCTCCCACGCTTGCAGCCGCAATGTCTTCATCAGGAAGTTCTTCGCAATCTCGGGTTCGCCATTCATGATGAAAGCGAGGGCGCTGGGCACGAAATCTCTCACGAAAACCTGGAATGCGGCCCGTAATATCAATCGCGCATGCGAAATCTTGCAAGAACAGGCAAGAGAAAGAACCGACCTGGTTATAGTTGAGGCTTTCCTCCACCGGATCGTTGGCAGCGATTGTCCCGATCGGCTTGTCGCGGAAATACACCAAAGATCGCCGGAGCTGCTCCCATGCATCGATCATCGCGGGATTGGGATCCAGCAGCGACCGCGGCGTGTTGGAGGCCGAACGGAAGAAATTCATGGAGAAATTCTCACCGATCTCGTGCCGCGAGGGCGGCAGAGGAGAAATGCCGGGCGAAACTAGGTCACTGAGCGTGCGCTCGTCCAGCGACCGCTGCGTCTCGATCGGCCGGGGCTTGAGCGCCACAAGCTTGGAGAAATCGATGTCGCTGATGAGATCGCACAGGTGCGCATCGCCATTTCTTGACGCGGTATCGGATGGATCGGCCGCCGAAGCATCGAATCCCAGCGGCATTTTCCCCTCTCTTCGCTCCAAGAAACCAAGACGCAGTCCTACAAGCTACACACCGCTGTGTACATTAATACCTTCCCTAAAATTTTTCTTTTACCAAAGGTAGCCCCCACTCACGCGAAGAACTTCTCTTTTTCCATAGCTCTCAGGCTTTTTTGGCCAAGAGAGCGATCACCAGGCGTCCACGTCGGCCCCTCACGTGCCACGTAGGACCCAATTGCCAGAGAATATGCCCGCTCCCGAATATTCCGGTACTCGCGATCCAGAGAATATTCCCACCAAGAACCAAAAACAAAATTAAAATGGTTTTCCCTGCAACTCTCCCAGATTCCCAAAGATTCCTTTGCCACTTTGTTTCATCTCATCAGTGTCTCACAATCGCTGTGTGTTCTATGTTCAAGGAGGGATGAGATGTGAAACAAAAAGGCCTACTTTTCTCTCCACCGAAGCCCCCACCACCGGAAAAAAAAAAATCTCACCAATGTCGGGAAGGATACACGCACAGTGTGCTGTTGTGCCAGCCTGGGAGAAAGGCAAACAAGCACCGCTGAGCCCTGTGATAGAGATCACCAAAAATAAAAGCTCGAAAGCTATACCTTCCAGGTAATCGCCGATCTTTAGCGCAAAGATGGTCGAGGTGAGCGAGGCCTGACTGGGGTCTTCGACGGGCTCACCCTGTAAGAGACGTATCGGGAGTTTGTAAGAAAGAACAATCGGTGATCGAGCGAGTGTCTTTACCGAATTGGTAGCGAGCCAAGAATTGCACCGCTGCAATTCAACGCAGCCATAGCGCTCTCAGCCTGCGAAAGAGGTTGTGACCGTAAGCAACGAGCTCCCAAGGACCAAATCTATTCGCTCACCAGTGCGAACTCAACAAACGCTATTCGAGTAGAATGATGGTAGTCGCCCAGCAATCTCAAGCGCGACACCTGGACGAAGAGAACCAAAGAGTCGTAAAATGCGCAAACACGAAAGGAGAGAGACTCGAAAATGCTTCTTACCTCACCACAAAGTGACTCGAAAAATAGCTTCACATCGGATTGGGAGACCTGGAATAAAATCTTCCGTGTCATAGATCGACGCTGGACACAACCTCGAAAGTCACCTTCTTGTCGATATTCGTGCAGTATATGGTACGTGCGCACATCTGCCGCTCATCCTCTGACTGGAAGTTAAAAAACAAACACCCGAGCAAAATATGTGAGAAAGAGCTCCGCGTAAAAGTCAAAAAGTAGCTCACCCGAGGTAGAAAAGTCGGGTTCACTGGAACAATGGCCGTCTTAGAGGGCAAAACTCGAACTGGATAAAATCCGAGCATAGTTCCTGCGAGATTAAGTGCTTGGCGAGCACCCTCTGATCAATGGTGTGTCATCAACATCAACATGTAAGAAAAATGGACAACAGGAGCAACCGGTCTTACCTTCATCTGTGAATTCCACAAAGGCAAATCTCAGAACCGAATTGGGATCACCGCAAACACGGCAGTCAATAACCTGGAGTTGCAAAAGAAGAATAACAATTCAAAATCAGTAGAACCACAAACCGAGAATACTATCATGTACGCAATTATCACCTGGCCACAATTGATAAACAATGCTGCCAATTGCTCCTCGGTAACCTGGTAGCATCAAACGTAAGATCCACATGCATGAAGAGAAAAAACGAGGATGAAGAGAAGGAAACCAACCTGCTGATCAATATCTGAGACATAGACAGTCCGCCGGATACACTCTTCTCGCTGCGCTTTGCTTTGCCTATTGTTATATCTCTTCTTCCCTGTGTTGTATCCGTTTTGCTGCACAAGGAATAAACCAAGTTTGCGATCAGATCCGGCAAAAAAAGAAAAAGTAGCAAGGACAAAGAACGCCTTGGTCTCAAGCAGAACCTCTAGATCACCTTGCGTTGTTGCTGCAGTGGTTGCTGCTGCTGCAGCTGCTGCTGTTGATGGTTAATTTGCTTGGATAGGAGCTCCTTGGAAAGCGCGGGGTCTCCACGAGAAGGTGGAACAAACTCCTTGGCCAGGGGGTTGAGCTTCTTGAGCAAATCTTCCAGCTCCCTCATACTGTCATTACTAGCGTTACTCCGGCCGGAATTCTCATCATCCTCCTCGCCTAGCAAGCCGTTGGATCGCTGCGACTGGCCGACCTGGACAGACAAGCCGATGAGCGACGGTAGAGAGCGCCCGAGCCAGCGGAAGGAATCGAGAGCGAGAGAAATCGAGCGAAATCGGGTCGAAATCTTACCTCGTACAGCTGCTCCGGGGATGAATCCATGCCGCCAAAGCTGCTAGTCGTGCCGCCGGGGCCGCCGCCCTGTGGAGAAGACCCGGTCGCGGCTCCCAGTCCCAGTCCTACCGATCCATCCATCCCTGCATTGTCTGCAACCGCCATCATCGCGGGCCGGCGCACCAATCCGAGCTCTCACCAGCGAGATCCAGCCATCGCTGGACCAGATCGTCGTCGTCTCCCCCCGGCTCTCTCAAAAACCTAGAAACACACAAAAGCCCTAAGCTCCCTTGGATCCAGCGAGGAAAGCATGTAAGAGAGAGAGGAGGGAAGAGAGAGAGAGAGAGAGGAACAGAAGAGGGAGAAGACCTAAGGGGTGTGTCCTCTAATCGTAGCTAAGTACGCCCAAGGGTGGAGCGATCGCTCACGGCTCAAGGGCACACCAACGCAGCCGGCGAGCGTTTTTCTTGGCCGCGGGCGGAGAGATCGCCCGCGCCATAGCTATAGCAGCGCTGGGCTGGCCTCTTTTGGACGGCTACGAAACATTGACCTAATTTTCGCTGCATTTTGGTGGATTTCGTTCTCTCTTTCTTTTTTTATAATTTCTGCCTCTTTTTCTTTTTTTCCGGGCAATCATCACCGTACAATGTATAGCTGGTTAGTCTTTACGCTGGTAATTTAATCCGGAACCTAATTAATCCGCAAAGTCCACGCCATGCTCCCCCGTCTTTTAGGTGGGCCAAATAAAATCTCATTGGCCATCTTTCCACGTTTTCACACATGCTTTGTACTAGTTTGGGCCATGTCTCAATTTTCTGGATTGGGCCACTTATTATGACCACGCTCTAGGGTTCCTTCTCAGCGTCGTCTTCTAGGGTTTGGCTGGGGAGGAGGGGCTTTTGGCGCAGCAATCTCGCGGCGAATTCGCTCATTCCATCCCCGAATTCGCATTCTCAGGTACCTCGCGGCCTCTCAATTCAGCTCCTCCGTGCCTCTTTTGCTCGCATTTTCTTTCCTCCTGCATGCTCTGCCTGGCCATTCCTAGGAAGGGTTTTGCTGCGCGCGGGGGGCGTGGTAAGACTAGAAATCTATCGGCGTAGCTGAAATTCACGCGTAGGTTTGGTTACCAGCATTTTGTTTTCGTTTTTTGCGCATTTTGGTGGAATGGTTTATTTGGTCCATAACTTAACTGTGAAGGTGCTGATTGGTGGTTTGTGCCCGTGTCTTTGATCTCGATTTCATCGCAAAAAAACGAACTTTAGTTTTTTTCATGAATGCTTGAAGGCCAAAGCCTACTGTTCACTGTTCACTGTCTAGAACGGCCTTGAAGCTCTTTCTTTCATTCTTCTTTTACATTTTCATTGCTCTCAAATGGCCTTAACAGCAAATTTCTCTCTCTCCAGCCCTTTCTCTTGTCCAGTTTTTACTCCTCTTGATGCCCTTCGTCTGCGGATGCTCCCTTCTATTCCTTGTCCACAGCTCCACTACAAGCTTTTAGGTGAGGAGCTGCTTACTGCTACTGCCGAGGAGCGGGAGTGGACATGTCGGACGCCTCAGCGTCGCCAGAGGTCCACGACGACGAGAGAATTGACATAGACGGGGACGTTGAGCCAGAGGATGTTATAGATGACGAGACCGACGGCATTGTTGAGGAAGAGAAGGCCGACCAGGAAGGTCTCGACTTGGACATGAACGAAGACGAGGGTGGCGAAGATGAGGCCTATACCACAGATCACGAAAATGGGCTGCAAAATGGAGAGAATGCAAGCGCTGATCTGGGAGAGAGCGTTGATGTGACGATTCCAGAGGACGAAGTGGAGAAGAAGCCGGAAGAAACGCACAGGGATATGAAGGTTGACGACGACGAGGAGACCAAGAGCCTCCTCTCACGTCCTCCCCATGGCTCCGAAGTTTTTATCGGAGGTGTCACCCGTGACACGAACGAGGATGATCTCCGTGAGCTGTGCAGTCCGTGCGGTGAAATTTTCGAGGTACATGGATTCAAATATGAACTGTTTTATGACATTTTTATTATCAGGTCCGGATTCTCAAGGATAAGGAGACTGGAAACAATAAAGGCTATGCGTTTGTCACGTATACTAATCGCGAGACCGCCGAAAAGGCCATAGAAACATTGGCCAATTCGGAGTTGAAGGTGAGTGTTCGACGTTAATTCGTGAGAACTTTGTGTGATTTGGTTGTGTTTCAGGGAAGGAAGCTACGGTTTTCTCATTCACAGGCAAAGCACAGACTGTTCATTGGTAACATACCCAAGTCTTGGGATACTCCTGAACTGGAAAAGATCTTGGCGGAAGAGGGCCCTGGCGTTGAGGGTGTCGAGCTTTTGAAGGTACGCAACTATGCCACATTTAGTGTAGCAACGTGTTTCATTAAATGCAGGACCCTCGTAATCCTGGCAAGAATCGAGGTTTTGCCTTTGTCGAGTACTACAACCATGCGTGTGCCGATCACGCCAGAAAATTAATGTCGAGGTCGTCGTTTCGTCTTGGAAACAACGTACCCACGGTGAGCTGGGCGGATCCCCGTACAGGGGCGGAACCTGCTGCCACCTCACAGGTGAACGCTAAATGCTGATAGCGGCGCAAAGACTGATTTTATTTTTCTTTCATGTCCTCGCAGATCAAAGTCGTCTACGTTCGCAACCTGCCTGAGGCTGTGACCGAGGAGCAATTGAGAGGCTTGTTCGAGCATCACGGTGAGATCACCAAGGTGGTGCTGCCTCAATCGAAGCCCGGCCAGCCCAAGAGAGATTTTGGATTTGTCCATTTTGCGGACCGCAATGACGCGCTAAAGGCGATAGAGAAGACAGAGAAATACGAGCTAGAAGGTATGCTCAGCCTTATTATATGTTTCCTTTCTTGCAGGCTAAAGTTTTCTTAACTTGGAACTACCAGGTCGTGTTCTAGAATCGTCTCTCGCAAAGCCTCCTGTCGAGAAGAAGGGGATGGACCAGCCTCTAGCTCCTCAGAGACTGGGAATTCTCTCTCAGTTGCAACCCAGAACAGCCGCCTACAGCTATCCAGTTGACATCTACAACAACATAGGAACTGGAGGCGGCTATGGACAAAACAGATACAACCAGGTGATCACACGCTTCTTCTTTCTGTTCTTTCTCACAAGTTTCTCCTCGCTTTCCAGCCTTTGATCTATGGACGCGGGCCTCCTCCCGCTGGTATGACAATGGTTCCAATCCAACTTCCAGATGGCCGGCTTGGCTATGTTCTGTAAGTAGCTTGTTTCAAGTTTCGCGCTTAGAGCTAAGATTTCCTGTGCTGCGTAGGCAACAACCTGGGATCCAACAACAGGGATCACAATTTGGCCGGGGTGTACTATCATCGTCGTATAGAAGTAGCAGTAACAACGCGGGCTCTGGTGGCAGCAGCTCGAGGCGCTATCGGCCATACTGAGTGAGTGACACTTACACATATATGTTTGGGATCATCAGCAACAGGAGCTCACTTTTGCTCCATGGCTGTTCTTCCTTTTCGCTCATTTCAGGCTTACTAGATTTCCAGGCCTGATGCTTGAACAGGTGCGTAGCTAAAATGTATTTACGTCTCGTGAGTTTTTCCCAAACCGTTTAATAAGAAAGTGCTAAAGGTGAAGGAGAAAACTGTTGATTGTACTTCTGATGGATGCTTCACATCCAAATGCAAAACGTCACTTCACCTCTTCACTGCGAGATTCTTATGCTTTTAGTTGGGTGCTAATGATCTTAAACATGTATTAATAATAATTTGATCTCCCCAGGAGATCAAAACTCATCTGAAATGACCTGCGATTCCTCAGACCCTTGATTATAACTTCAGGCTCGATGTCCTTGACCAGGTCCCACAGTTTCAGTTTGAGCCCGGTGACAGGCTTCTCCTTGAAGAACACGTCCCCCCAGGAGATGGCAGGCTCCCCCTCGATCACAGATAAAGCCACGTAAAGGATCTGCTTCGCCTCCATCAACACCGCACCAGCATGCGGCTTTCCGTCAACCACAACGGATTTCGGGGAAGCATTCATTTTCCCCGTTGCTGAAACGCAACTCTCCCAGGCTATTTCCAGTTTAACATCGAGGCCGTCTCTCCGCTGCATACTACACACCACTGCCCACTCCCCACAGGCCATCAGAGCATCAACCTCGCACTCAACGTCCGGAATAACATTGCCCTAGTACATAGCCTTGGCACTCGTCCACCTTCATATTCAGCACGGCTTCTATTTCGGCAGATAGTTGAGGGAGCAGAAGGTTCTCATGACTTGAAACAGATAGCCCTCTGTCATTGTCACCTGTTGCTCAGTTACATTGGGAACCACTTGACCACGTAGATCGGCGCATAGCAACAACTGCGGATCCAGAAAGTCACACCTCTTGGAATTGGGACTTGACCTGAGAATGTTTGCTGACTGCAGCTCACCCAGAGTATAGTCATCCACAGCCTCGGTAAGGGAATGATTGGCTACAATCCTTCTAACTCCGACCAGTTTGCTTCCTGATGGACCTGAAACCTCGTCCACAACATGGTATAGTGTATCCTGGAACGTGCGGCCCCCTGCATAATCAGCAAAGTTGTAGCCGCATACTAGGAACTTCCGGATGAAAGCTTCAGGATCCCATAACTCTTGCCGCGATTTCATGGCTCCAGCACTCCGACTGATGTAATGCATTCCCAATACAACCTCCATGCTTGGATCTGGAAGTTTAGCCCGAGAGAGTAAGCCTGATAACTGTGCGCCTTTATCGCGCACGTCTATTTCTCTCGAGAACCGAGAATGCCACGGTTCCATCTTCCACAATCAGCTTATAGGCCATAACCAGATCTTATCTTGATGTATGTTCGGAAACTCGTCAATCCCCATAAAAGACAGTAACAAAACTATCTCGGCTTCTTGAAGGAAAGTCCTGCTCCCCTGAATGATAGAATACCACCCTGTCCTTCACACCACTCTTCTCAAACCGAAGACGTAGCATTTCCGCTGCCAAAGCACAAGTTTTACCCTGTCTCCTCCTCCCTGATAACACTACAACTTTGGCCCCCCGGTCTGCTTTATCCGCTAAAACTTCCTTGTAATCCATTCGCCTCGATCTCATATACAACAGCCTTTACAATGTTCTCTGGGAAGTACTTGCAATATGGTACATGAAAATTTACTCCAGCTTTTTTGTATTTCGATATCTCACTCTCAACTTTTCAAGGATTTCTCTACAATGACATTGCCTGTTGTGGCCTTGACAACTACAATGGCTCCGTCCCTTGCTTGCCAAACGTTTCAGTGTGCGAGGACGCTGCACAGTAGTATCCCACAGGCTCCACTTACAAGCTCATCGCAGACAAGCTATGGTCTGGAAACATCAACGAAAGCTATCCCATCAACGTGAAAACTCTCCTCGGCCTTTGATCAATAAACCGTATTATTTATCGGTTTATGTTATTTTGGTTGTACTATAAAAACCCTTTTAGCATTAACACAAATCAGGGTTTGCGCAAAAGGGGCATGGATAGTTTTGTGAGCAAAGCGCACAGTGGGATGCGGATTGAGAGGGAGCTCATCATCGATAA